TGACGGAAACGAGGTGCGCTGCCGGCAGCCCCTCCAGCACACCAACAGCCTCACTAAGCGGGAACAAAACTGCAAGAACAGCCATCTGCTCCCTACGGCTGCAGGGCTTCCCTGGCAGGAAGAAATTTTCATACTTGCATTGTATCAAAGTGGTTCAAATGCCAGTTGAACAAAAAAGGAAAGGAGTCTGCCCAGGCCTGGAGATCTCATGCAGGGGCCAGCTTTTTCCTCTCATCTCTGAGTTCGAGTGGGTCTGCAACAACTCCAACGTATCTGCAACTCTGTATCCCCTCTACAGCTAGAAACTAGCTAGTTACCTATAAATTACTTACAATCTGTGTAGAGTCAACAGGAAAGAATATCCAAGAAATAGATCCCAAGTCCAAGCTTCCCGCCCTGCTTCATTATTTCACTTAGATACAAAGTTGGAATAAAGTCTTGTTACTGCTAGCTATTCTCTAAGATCAGGCTGAAAGCCCGCTTGCGAATTAAAACCCTGCCTGGGCATCAAAAATGCAACTGGTTGACAGCAACTCAACAGCTCATTCTTTTAGAGCTGATCTAGTATTTCCCAATTGATGTGCTACTCTGATATTATTAACTACTGCTCCAAGCAAGATTCAGAACCAAAAATGAACAGACCAGGCCCACCTGTGAAAAAATGGCACAATTTCTCTACAAGTGTATTGCCCAAATGTAAGCAATAATGCTTGGTCATGTTAAACAGTATCTCAGTTATGATGTTACAGAAGACAGTGTTAGGAGCTACTGGAAGACTCTCTAAGTTGGTGGGACTTTAATCCCCTGTGGCATATAGAACCACTGAGCTGGACAAAAACAAGGCTCTCGTTGACATTTGTGTTTGGAAAGTGGATGATTTCCTAACAGTTTAAGATTTTCCAAAAAAGGCAACAAAACATGATTTAATAGCTTTATGTAATTTACACATTAGAGGAAGCAGTGAAGTACACAACTGGAATAGTTTTTATACTCAGACCACATTTAAATTAATAGAAAAGCCCCACATGCTCTTTTCCTTTCCCTTGACATTCCCTGCTGTTAGCACTGTTCCACCAAGAGGGCCGCTAACATCTGCTTCCCTGGAGTACTTGACACAGAACTGAAAAACCTGCAAGGTCCCTTCTGCTGATGGGCAAGCCCTGCATCAGCCCAAGGCTGCTTTTGGCAGCGGTGATTGAATATGTTCGATACAGAGTTCTTGGAAACAGCTCCAGAACACAGCGCTCTATCTACAGCGCTGACCCTCCTTCGCATAGGCTGCCGAGATGAAGCGCTTCCATTTTGTCTGACAGCTGGAATAGTCTGAAGTACAGTAATTAGACTGGAAGATGGATAGGATTTATCTGTAATGCTTTTGAGATAAGAACATGTCTGTATCAAGAACCTTCAGAAGTCAGCCACTAACACACTACTTTCTTCTGCTCTCTTCATAAGACATAACTAAAAATTCACTAGCAAATCAGAAAATAGTGTTAAGGGCTGACACCTAAGAGCTCTTGAGGTAGACAGGGCCAGGGTGATAACCCAAGTCCCCAATACAGATGCAGTTGTCTCATAGCTTAGATACAGTCCAAGATGCAAAGTTAGAGCTCCATAACTAATCTGTTTACAGCAATTTCAACACAAATGTCTCAAAACTAGATTTCTCCCCTTCCCAGGAAGGAGTGTGGCAAGAGCAAAAATTAAGTCCTGTTGCTCGCTGCCCTGTGTGGAAGGTCCCGCATCTCCTGCCTGGGAGGACTGAATGTAGCTCACCAAGAGGATCAAAAGTAGTAACTTGTAACCCTTTTGTTGCAAACTAGTTTTGGCATTTATCATTACCATACACTTTCCCATTAGATCTTTATGTAAAAGCTCTGCTTTTATCTGCCTACTTCACAGGCATAACACATGGCAAAGTAACTAGAAGCACACACCTCTAAGAGCCAGTCTAACAGAATTGATCTCATGTGAGGTTGCAAACTAGGATGCAGTGACGTGAAATGTTTGCAGTGAGTGTATCTGTCCTCCTTCTCCAGCATGATCAGCCAGACATCTTTGGAATTTCCCCAACTACAGAAAAAAAGTTACACAAAGCATTGTTAGGTATATATATATACACACACCTTCACAAAAGGAGTATAAAAACATTATTTATTGTTTACTGATATTCAGGAACAAAAAGAATTCCACATGCTAGAAGATCCTTATGGTAATTTGACAACTGTGGCTATACTTTGAACATTTTACCACCACAACCGCAGCTTGCCAAGATCATCAGCAAGTCCAGTTTTATAGAACAGCAAATAAAACTGGTTAGGTGGCTGTCCAGAGAGCAAGATAAAAACCAAACCTTCCCCATAAAAAAAGAAAAAAACCCAGCCCACTCCCCAGGAAACACAAAACACAAAGTTGTCCAGTCTAGTTTGAGAAAAACATTTACAGATGGTGTTTAGAAATCATTCATCCATCCCTTCCTTTTCTAGCCTACCTGAAGGCTCAGAAGCAGGCTACTGGGAAAGAAACTGAGTTCTTGTTTTTTCCTAACTAATCTATTGCTAATCTATTAGCACTCAAGTCTACCTCTGAAGAAGATGCCTATATCATGAATATGGCTGGGTTTTAATTTGTAGTTATTGTTATTATGAATTGATGTGGGTTTTTTCTTAGATGTACTTCTCACCCTACAGTTCCTAAAGGGGACAACATGTTCATCAATGCAGTGCTGATTTTCTGCTGAAATTTTTGGAGGTGTGTGTTTACCTTTCCCCAAGCAGAAGCAAAAAGAGACTAAACAGACCTGACCACTGGTATCGCCTACAGACTCTAACCCAGGTCAGTTCTATTCTGCTGCCGTCATAAGCTAAAGGCTGGAGAGATATTTGCTTGTTTAATGCACAAGTCTCCCCATATAAGTGGGCAGGCATTGAGAAATCTCCTGTTAGGATCTTCCTGCAGCAGTTCGGAAAGCATGAAGCAGGCAGGAGAGAGTGAATGATCCTCTTATTCAGCTAATCGGAAAGGATGGAGCTCAGCTTTACAGACGCCTATCGACAAGAGGTGAACACCAAGGATTAAACTCCTTGCATGGAATCCTGTACCTGAACGTATCTTTGGGATCCAGCAGTTTCCAACAACTTGCTAAAGGAGTGCATGAGATTCCCTCATTCACCATCCTATTTATATTATTATTATTACTTTTTAAAAACTACTCTGCACTAAGCTTCCCAACACATACAAAAATGTGATTTGCTAGGTATAGAGAAGAGCGTACTGCTCTTTAAAGCACAGCTGGGCAGGCTTGGGAGCAATACTGAGAGGGAAGTGCATTGAAACTCAGTGAAACAGACAGTAAGAGACCTATTGCTTTGCACTGAGGCAGAACATCACCATGCAGCATTTCCCAGTCCTGGCCAAAACTTGACCAGAACACATAAAAACATGGTGTATCTAGAAAGGTCCTCTTAGAGCAACACTTCGTGTTCTGCTTCTCTTCTCATTCAACTCAGCAGAAGTCTTCCTTAATGCACTGCAGTGTATTTAGCAGCTCTTGCATTAAACACCAGGCTGATACAAACAGCAACCAAGGTACTTATCTCACACACCAGAATGGCTGAGAAATTCAGAAGCTGAAAAAATCCCATTCAGTCTACTAATCGATCCCTCTGCAGAGGGGAAGCTTTCTAGAACAGTGACTGCACAAAGCATACTGCATTGCATGAGCAAGCTGCCTGCACAGCAATATTGCCACAAGTTTATTTTCATACTTGTATATTTTTAAGTTCTTAAAAGACAACTTTGCTTAGTATTTTTTGATCGCTCTCTTCCAACAGCACCAAAAGAAGTTTAGTTTAACCATTATGTGCCTCTTAACCACTTTGAGTGTCCAGGGTTAAGTTATAAAAGGATGGCTCAAAGGTAAAAAATTACCTGTCTGGTGCATTTACAAGACTGACAAAAAAAACCCACCCAGAATTTCTGTCCTTTATTTGGACATCAAATCATTGTGGGACAAGGACACAAGCAGAAGTATGGGTTGAGCACTGTCCACTATGACATAAACGCAATACAGCAACAGATTTTACTACAGTAGCCCAGTGTATTTGATAAAATATCAACAACAGCTGCACCTGGTAAACTTACTTAAGTTCTGGCAAAGGTGATGGATTTATGAAGAGGTTTCTGAATCTGTACTTTCTGAATCTTGAGAAGTCAGTGGTTACTGACTCTTTGTGAGGCGTTTCAATAATTGTGCAAGGCGAGATGCCTCCTGTTATCGTGGGTGGCCAACAACTCTGCAACATAAACAAGGTATCTTAAATGCTGATTTTACTACCAGAGCAAGAAAGGTGGGAAGCAGTTACAGTAGCAACAACAATATACGTAATCTGCACTAGTCTTTTTGTACATCAGCATTCGATTCAAGTACCCAAACCAAGAAAGACAGACGAAATGCCAACAAAACCTTTCGTAGTCATGATGGAACGTGTGAAGCCAAATTTGATAACTTTGGGAAACAGCCTTGGGGAAGACAACTATCTTTAGTTTATGAACCCACAAGCAACCTAGCCATTGCTTGAGCTGCTCAGTTACAGTACTTAAGGCAGAGGCAGTCCTTGCTACTAAAACGCAGAACATTAGGTTGCTGGTCCTATCTACTTATCTACTCAGAAGGAAAAGAAAGGAGAGGGTGGAGGTTCTACTGTCTCTCAGTGGAAATTCAGCAACTTGTTATCTTCCAATTAAGCACTCCAGAGAGGAGCCACCCACCTCAGCTCCAGAGCAAGATACCCACTGAGCAAGCAGCAGCTGTGAACTATCTCTCAGCCTGCCAATGCCAAATACGGGATGCAGTGACTCAAAAAGAAGAGGAGCCCGATGTTATTAATGCAGAAAGCTTCGAAGAAGGAATTCTAGATTACTTCAGTTAACTCTATGCCTTGTTTCACTAATACTTATTTGGTTGTACGTAACCAACACAAGTAAAGAGGTATCAAATGCATGGAGCATATGCAATGCTGTGATGACTGACAACCTTCAAAATGGTGACACAGAACTGTAATTTTGCTCTGTGAGTTAGGGGGAGATCCCATTCCCAAAGACTGGCAACTCCCACCCCTGAAAACAGAAACTTTTCCTATAAGGTTGTTACGCAAGGGAAACAACACACAATTTCCTTAGTGTATCTAAACCTATTTATAGCCAAACTAAAGCACCCTAGGAGTGAAGTTACATCGTCCAGAGTTGATCTTAACAGCATGCAGCCATGAGAAAGGGGAGATCACGCTCTTTCTTCTCTCCTGTGATCTTCACTGCCCGTCTGACCCCTTCCTTCTTTTGTCAGTTTTGATGCTTGTCAGACCCTTTGCTAGGTTGATTCAACTCACTAACCTGGCAGAATACTAACTCATTGTGTAGTGCCAATTTGGCAAACTAAACCTGCATACCGCTTCATTTAAAGACAACCAAAAATGGAGCAAGGCAGCGGATGGAACGTGTGGCCAGCTACCGAGGAAGGAAAGAACAGGAAGCAGGATTTTCCCCTTTCGGCAAAGGTAAGTTGTGACACACAGTTCCACCCCAAGTACAGCTGACATACTTGCACAGCATTTTCCCCTACGCAAAGGCTGCAAAGACAAGTTCACAATCAGAAGAGTTTTGCTTCACCATAGCCTTTAGTCACATTTGCTTTACAACAGAATAACTGTAAACAAGACTGTTTCCAAGAGAAAGTTACAATATTTTCCTAACCCACTTTAAAATAAACAACTATAAAGCGCCTCAAGTTGGTTTAGGAGTAGCCTATCTCAGTTAAAATAGATTCCTAAACTGATTTAAATAATCAAAAGAACTGTTAAATGAAGGTAAAGAGGGCCTGCATGGTTACTGAGTCTTCTTCACTAAATGGCTGTGAAACCACACCTTTAGCTGAGACAAGTGCAATGATCTTGTTTGGACTTGCCTCTAGGCCTTACCTACTCTGCACATGGAATTATTCTGAAATATCTGGGTTTATTCTCCTTTTTACACCTAACCTTACTCCGCAGTGATTTCCACATAGCGGATGAAGGGTCCTTTAACAAAGCCACGTGTAAAAAAGCAAAAACATGTAAAAAGATAGTTTTTAGTATCTGAAGGTAGAAACTTCCCCTATTCAAAATTTTCTAGTGTGTAACGCATGACTTGACACCCACCAACATAAACCAGATGGACTCCCTCACCTAGTTTGAGCTGATCAGGACTGAATTACCTTAATCTCATATTGATGCTTTTTAGCAATTTTCCAGTCTTCTGTGTTCTTAGTCTCCTGCTGAGAAGAAAAACACACATCAATGCACCAACAACAACCAGCACACCCACCTTTAAAGCTAAAGCAAACTGCTCCTACTCCTGCCCCACTTTCTAACTCAGCAGAGTAAAGATTCTCCCATCCAAGCGTACTTGAGAACTTCCAATACTATTAAAACTTCTGCAGTTGCCCAAACTGGTTACCTCTGACGCTTTCCTTTTTCTGGTCCAGAGACGCTCTGGTGCCTGCAGTTCTTGCGGAGACTCTTCCTGATGCGACAGCAGCTGCTGCTTCTTGGCATGCAGTCGGCTACTGCAAAGAGCAAAAGGACACAAGAAATTAGGAGAGCAGCAGCCGCCAGACGAACAAAAATAAGCTTGGTGTATGATGATGCTAACAGCTCACCTGCGTCTTAACATCTTCTTTGGGTTGCAAGATCTCTACCTGGACCGAAGGAGGAACATCAGCTCAGTTAATGCACCCTCAAGAAACGCGGACCAACACCACGATGAGTGGTTGCCACCGCAGAAGCAGGAGGGCACACACCTTGGACCCGGCATGAGGGGCACCCGAGCAGAGGACGCCCGAGGCGTATCATCGCGGGCAGCTCCACACCCGCATCCTGCTGGGAGTTACACTGCCCGGATGGGTTACCCAGGGGAGCCCCCCCATGCCGGCCGTCCCTCTG